AACAATTTATTGACTTAAAAATGGAAACAGCAATCAATATGCCGCGAATTGAGAGAAATATGAATAAAAATCTATAGTTGACGCGACCACCTCTTGCTTTTGATCAGTTCTTCTGGGTACAATGGCACCCCGTTTCTGAAGGGTTAATGACTTTGAGTATCAGGACCAAACCTTCCAGGGCCCTCTACCATGCTTAACATTTGACAGCAGACAATCATTGCCTTCAACTATTTGAAATTTTGGTCCAGAGTAACCGATGACATTTTTTCTGCACTGTGTTTACACACCAAAGGCTGCAACTTTTCCAGGAAAACCAGACCAGAGTAGATGAAAGTACCTGGATCTCACTGGTTTCTGCCAGTTCTGAGCAAATTGCACTTCTAAATTGTTGCAAGTGGCTGACCACTGCCGCACCACTCCTCAATGTTGTGACTTTGTGATTCTTTAGTAAGTGCTTATGCAATTATTATAATTTCTTTTAGTAAATCCCTTATTAATTTTCATGTAATTTATCTTAATATAAAGGTGCTGTGAAGGCAGTTGCCTCACCATAAATTTAATATTAATATTATATGAACATATTGCAAGAAAAATTGTTTAGGTTTGATTCACAAATAAATACAATTTAGGAAAATAAACATTTTGTGTCCTGATAGCAACCTCCAGGCCTTTCATATCCAAAGAAAAATAAGCATCACAAGATCGTCAATGACTGCTGGTACCCAGACAGCTTCTGCTGCTCTCATAGCAATAACTGCATAGCAACGGTTGGTTGTGAGTGGGTGAGAGCTGGTGTTTGTGTACGGGGAGGTTGACATGGAATTCTCATCTCTCCCCAAGTCTGGAGCAGCACAAAGGAGCATCTGGATAGTGACAGTTCCACACATTCTCCTCTTGACAGGATTTGATCATAGTTACCAGTAAAGTACAGTGAACAGCATTGTTTGCCAGAGCGATTCTGACATTCCGCTTCAAAACGGTGTTAAAATCATAGTGAGTACAGGCTGATATTGACTCCAAAATGTAAGAATATTTTAGTTTAGCATTTTTAGTTCCATCGTGAACTGGGCTTTTTTCATCATTCAGTGAAATTGTGTGCTTTTTGATGGTCCGTTTTTCATTTTCTCTTTTTAAAAATCTCCAAAATTTTTAGATCACTATAGTAAGTATTATTGACTGTCAAAATCCAAAATGTAAGAATATTGTACTGTAGAATTTTTAAACCTGGGTTTATTTGGAAAGAAAATTGCATTTATTGAAATTGTACACTGGGAATATTTTCAGTTTCCATTTTTACTTTTCTTTTTTGAATATGTTCAAAAACTCTTTAGATCACTATAGTAAGTATTATTGACTGTTAGAATCCCAAAATGTAAGAATATTGTACTGTAGAATTTTTAAACCTGGGTTTATTTGGAAAGAAAATTGCATTTATTGAAAATGTACGCTGGGAATATTTTCAGGTTCCATTTTTACTTTTCTTTTTTGAATATGTTCAAAACTCTTTAAATCAATATAGTAAGTATTATTGACTGTCAAAATCCAAAATTAAAGAATATTTTACTGTAGAATTTTTTTGTTATTCTATTTTTTGACAGAAAATTGAAAAGTGAAATTGAGTGCTGGGCCCATTTTATGGAGGTACCATAGTACATTTCACCCGTTTGGCCAGCAGCAGGCCTGGTTTTGACATGAACTGGTGTCAAATACCGAAAAATAGACCAAACAGTTCATGTGTTAACTATTGATCAATATTCAGTTTTATTGTTGTGAACTGCTTGCCAGTCACTGTCCAACTCTGATGTTGAAACCACCTTCTGAAAAGCAAGAAAGTGAAATAAATGAAATGCATGCTGTATTGTATAACATGACCTTGAAACTCTTCTGTTTATTTCTTCCAAACACATTTTCAGTACCATTCAAGCATGACGAGCATTGCAGTTTAAAGTTGAACGTTGTTATGTCAGTCGCCAGTAAGTGACCTGCACCGATTTTTAACTCTCAATGAGCTGAAATATTTGCTTCAGATTTTGGTTTTAAATAGAACCAATGAATTTGAATCATTGCTTTCCTAATGCATTGTGATGATATGATGCTACAAATTTCTAAATTCACAGATATTTTGAGTCTCTTTAGCGAAGTGTGTACTGCACAGGAGACGAACATATTCCCGGCTTTATGAGCTGAAAGCTTCCTTTTCAAAGTTCAATTGAGGCGTAAAAGCAGAAAAGCCTCTATTGCTCCAAGAAAGGTCAGTGCATTCATTGTGCCTCATACACAAAAAGCTAGCATGGAAGCTTTATTAGCTTCCCGCCTCCTGCAATGACCTTCCAGTTGAGCTGGCCAGCCAGACACAGGAAGTGTGGTCTTTTTCATTGGTGAATCTCCGTCTCACCTCCTCCACAACAGGAGGTGGACAAGGAACCAGATGTTCCTGTAACAGGATGACCCTCCTTTAAATCGTTATCTCTAATTAGAGTGTTCCAGGTATCAGGCGCTCTATAGCACACACCATAAGCCTGCAATTCATATGCTAATTAAATGGAAAAGCTAACAGGAAACACACTAGTCTCCAGCAGGAACTTCCTAGAGATTTATCTCGAAAGACACCCATGTAGTAACATTTCTTAATAAAATATATATAGAAATATCTGTATAATTGGGATACTTCATTTAACACTTCTGTTTCTTTGCGTTTTCAGTCACTATTGTTAATCTTACTTGTCTGTCCTGTAGGGGAGAAATCTGCAGTCTTTAGCTCATCACTGCAGGCTAAAGGAGTGGCGACAGCACAGACAGCCCCCCTGTGTTAGGCCAATTTCATTATTGCTGCACTGGAAAGAAAATTCTGACTAATATGCAGCTCAGGGATCATTTTCTGGGTTAAAATGGCATGGAATGCAAGAGCTAGACACTGGTTAAGGATGACAATTTAACTTAAATTTATCCAGATTGTAAACATTATCAAAGATTCTTTTTTACCTAAACGTCCTAAAAAAGTGATATATTAATATCTGGCATCCCATAAAAGCTTAAATATAGAATTCTAAATATATGCATCATTTTGTGATTTATTAGACAAAAACCTATTTAATCTAAAATTCATCATTTCCATATATTGCAGTCAACTGCTCCAGGAGCAGAACAATTTAGTTAGCACGCCGAGATATTTGCATACATACATAACGAGCCGGGAATATATTTCCAAGTTACTTTCTTGAGGATGTTTTTGGGGAAATATTCAGATCAAAAGACTGAATAAAAATTTCAAAGAAATAAGAGAATCCTACTATGGCAAAGGTTGTCTTCCTTTTTTATAGTAGATTGTTCCATGTAATTAAATTATTTAAAAGGGTTCACTGTAAACTAAAGGTGACATATATCACATTTTTTCCATTATTTTGTTACGTGGAGACTTTACTCTTAGGAATAAAAAAAATTACATTTTTTCTTTTAATTTTGTCAAATTTGAAAACTTTTACTGCAATCTTGGTACAAACCAAATTCAGTCTTTCCTGAATAATAAATACAACTGGACGCCAATCACACCAGCTGTTTTGAAATAAGTAGGAATGACGAAATGCAGGGATTTTTGTTTAATTTTGATTTCAAATATAATGTGTAGGTTTCAAAAGTTTATTAGATTTGATATTTTTGGTATGAGTTATGATATATATTTTGGAATACCATGGTATTTATGGTATATTTGTAAAGTAATTCAAATTAAAATGCGCAACTATCTTTCAGTTTCATTTTAAAGACCCCAAATCTGTGCCATCTAGTGGTGAAAAGAAGGGATAACCCTTGGAAGTTCAAGACCTGTGATATGGTTTGTGTTTTGGAAAGTTCTGGCACAATGGAATAAAAAAGTGCTTGGAACAGTGTATAAGATTTAAGAAAGGTTTGCCGTGTCTTTTTATACAATTTACACATTGTTTTGACCTTGTCTTTGTTTTTTGGGGGGATTTATTTATGTTTATTTTAACACGTTTAAGTTTTATTTTAAAATATAAACTGTTCATTCTCATTTTAAACAGTTGTGTTACTTTTATTCCAACAATTTCAGGTAATTTTTTTTCTAGAAAAATACGAGCAGAACACCGCTCCCAGAGCCAAAGATGCGAAAAAGCTTGAACATGGCATTTCATCAACGTCTGAAAAAAATGCAGTAAAAAGTAAAATAAATGCAGTTACCGTATTTAGCATAAAAATGCATTTAAACTTTGAAAGTTTCAGTTACATTATCAATGGAAACGAGGGTGGAAAACTGTAAGCAATTAAACTGTTTCAGTTTTTTTTTTAAATAAGCATCAGAACACTGTTATAATATTTGGTTTGAATCTGAAGAAGAACCGCGATGACTGAACAGTTCAGCAAACCTCATGTATAATGACGCCATGCCGTATGTAGGTCATGCAAATCACATCTCGAGTCCACTGAACAAAATCTATTACTTTTCCGAGTATTTCACTCAAACTCCCTGCACTTTCACTACATTACCCTCAAGGTTCAGCCCATTTCATCTCTAAAACGAAATCAGTACCGAATCAATTACCAGCAGAAACAACACATTTGTCACTGACAGGAGACTGAGCAGGAGGGACGATTTAGTTTTATTTTCTCCACTTCCTGTGTCACATTCCACTGCACACAGCCGAAGGCGAGTGATATAAAGGAGCAATAGGATTTAGCTAAACTGAAGGCCATGAAAATACTTCAACACAGGCTTATCATTCATTGAAGAGAGGTTTAGTTCCTGTGTCAGTCCTTCTAAGACGGCCGCACAAATGGATGAAAACACTGACACTCACAGATATTTCACTGAGTTTAGTTCTTCTCTTAAGTACAAGACAATGAATATTAAAGATAAATTGGTGTCATTTTAAGAATAACACAAATGAATTTGCAGTTAGATTTCTATCTTTAAAATGTTGTAGGTAAACTATGACTAAATCCCAGGTCTTTCAGAATATTTTAGCCCATTTCACGAAATGAAAAAGCTTTCTGTGTCTCAGTCAGTAAAGCATTGCGCTAGCAATGCAAAGGTTGTGGTTTCAAACCCAAGGGAAAGTAAGAACTGATCAAAATGTGTTTAATTCCTTAAAATATATGTCACTTTGGATTAAAGCATCTGCCAAGTTTAAAAACAAACTGTAAGCAAAGCTATATATTGGGATACTTCTCATTGTAACGACATACATTTATGAAAAATTTCAATAAGAACTTTTTTACCATATTTAGACACTTTTATTTGACAAAAGCTCAGATCTGTATTTGCATCAATTAATTGCATTAAGATAAATGTCATTAACATCTAGCCGGCTAATGTTTGCACACAAACTTTGATACTGGCTGGTAAAAGTGTCATTTAAAACCCTGGTCACTACGAGTGCTATAAACTTTACCCATGATTTTCTGAAGCTATAGATCTTTAAAAAATCAGTTGCTAGGTTGAACAATCTGGTCTCCTTCTCACCATTAGTGATATATGTATAGAGATATGCACGTGTCGATATGAGTAAAATAAACCAACCCGCTTATCTGTAGGGTTTTCCAAAGCTAAATATTCTTCAGAAAATTTTATGCTATGGTAAATAGTTTGATTGGTCTAGAAGGAGATTTGTTTATAGTTTTTTTTAATTATTATTATTAAGAATTGCTGAATTTTCATACCAACATAACAAACTTTGAAGTGTAATGTTCTGCGATACATACCTAGATATTATGTCCACAATTCGCATCACAATATTTTATAACATTTTTAACCAACTAATGAAACAATCCACTAGGGGGCAGTCTTAATGCTTGCATTACGTCATCATTTTACTAGATGGAGAGAACTCATTTTAAAATCTTTCTCATTTAAAATGTGAGTAAAAGATCATTTTCTCCAAGTCAATATTACATAAACAAGAAGACAAGGTAAAGAAGTTACAGAAGTGACTAGAATCACAATCACACCAAGAAGCAAAGAGCTCCTAGACAATATCTCCCAGTAGCGCCATGATATGTATTGTGACAATTTTGCCATATTTTCTGAAATAATTATTGGTGTTTATAAGACAAAGGGTGGTCACCGTAAATATTGATTTGAGTTAAATTCCTCTTTTGTCCTTTCCCTGCATTTTGTTCACTGGTGAAAATAAATGACAAACACATCCATTTTGAAAACATTCTTAGTTTTTCACATGTTTAAATTTGCACAGTACTATACATGTTTTTTGTGAGAGAATTGAATGAAAGGACTTTTCTAAAGGCAGACCGATGACTGCACCAAATTAAATCTATTGATAATGGTCATAGAATACCAGAATGTCCAAAGTGTCTGGGTGGCACCACAAAGCACCATTCACGCAATGCAGGTAGTGCTTTTTAAAATGACTAGTTGAAGTGGGCTCAAGAATGGCACCGTTTTGGTTCCATCTATTCCTCTCGGTAAGATCATGTGGAGGATATCTCCCGTATCTTTACATTGTTCCTTGAACTAATGTTCTCTTTCAGTAAAACCAATCAGTGGGATTTTCTCGACAATTCAATTACTCGGCATAGCCTGATACCGGTCACATGTCACTTAACCCAACTCAACAGTGCTCACTTTGTTATGGTTAGCACAAAACAACATGAATACAACCCTCAAGCTACCTCCATCAAGAAATCCCTGACTACATGTCCACATACTTACTATGGCTGGCCACAGCGGAAATGGACTTGGTCAAACTTTCAGCAATTTCCAGCACAATTTACTGACTCACGCAGAAATCAGAACGAGGAAATGTAGTTTTAGAGCAGAGCGGTAAAGACTCAACAATAGAGCTGTTGTTATCGGGTCCTTGAACCTCTCTTAGAGCCAGAGAAGCAGATATTTTTCATTCTTGAAATCTTTGAAATCCGGTATTAACCGATTGAGACACAACCTGGTATTCAGCATGAAAACCAGAACAAGAATCTTCCATTGGATGCGGTTCTAAGTCTTTTTCTGTAATTCCCACAACAACCTGCTGTTCAATAAATCATTGCTTGAAAATACAGAACCTTCATCATACTTTACTTTTTGTCATCATGCAAACAATGCTCCTCTAAAGCTATTTGTTATGATTTAGTTATGAACTGACAGAGCTGCTGTGTTCTGCTCTTTTTCAGACTAGCATTAATGCCAATAAGATTTAAGTATTATATATAAAAGCCTCAAAAATCAAGACCAATAAGGTTTTTATTAAAGTCAACCATATAAGTCAGATGCTTTAGTAATCACTTCAATAAATTCATTATTTCTTAAAAATAAGTTGATTTATGTATTGTTTACTGTATTTTATGGAAAAAAATGCTTTAAACAGGTCACGAGCAGTCATGATTTGAAACAGAAACAGTCTTAAAACACATAGCAAAACTAACATAGCTCCAAAGATGAAGCTTTAACCCTGGATTATTCAACTTCAGAAGGAATACTGGTAGCTATGGAGGGGTCAGTGATATAATATCAAATTCCAGATGCCATTATGAGTAACATAAGCAAACCCTAATGTCTCTATGTTTTTTCTTAGCTGAGATTTGCCAAAATGGTTGCTATGGAGGGGTCAGTAACATAATGTGGTTTTCCTTTTGTCACACTAAGTTATATAAACCACCCCCTAATGTCTTTCTCTTTCATCAAAGTTGAGATAGAGAAAATTTGGTTGCTAGGGTAAAAAGTATGGTTGCTAGGGGAGGGTGACAGTGATGTCATTATTTTTTTAATGCGTTACTATGATTAACATAAACAAACCTACTCCTATTTTCCCCAAACAGGAGACAAGAACAATTTAACCCTCTCTAAAGGTTCCAATACTTTTGAACAGTATGTTCTTGCACAAAATGATACGTTTCTATGAGGTTCTCAGTTTGAGTTACAGTTTTACAAAGTTTGACCCCATGTTAAGTCAATGGAAAATTTCCCAGAATGCCTTTATTAGTACCATTCTAAAAAGATAGAGCAACCCGAGTGAGACCAGTTTATCTTGGCAATGTTTGGTGGCTTGAGTGGTCTAGGAGGAGATGCTTTTATAAGCTAACATAAAACATTTCTCATAACGACTTGCACACTGCAACAAACTTACCAGAAAATTTCTTTAATACCAAACACAAAATGACCTTGCAATATAAGCTTGTATCTATTTTGGGCTGTTTATCAGGCTTTGTGTTTTTGCTCTGACTGGTTTGTTGAGTGCACAAATAATGCAGCTTGAACCAACGGTGCCCTCAGCGACAGACAGAAGAGCTTTTAGGATGGTAGTTTGTGTTGATGAGAGCTCTTGCATCAGGCGCTATGACTCACTATAGTGCTGGAGGTAATGATTCTCTGCAGTGATGAGGAGGATGATGATGCTGCCGGTGGTGTGGAGTCTAATGTTGATGAAGGGGAGCTGGGGGTGAATAACGACCTTGCCTTTGGTTTACCCCTAAGAGATGATCAAAAGTAAACACATCTGGCAATGTTGGTGTAAGCTGATCAGTTGGTAGGACAGGAAAAGGAAAATTCACACCTTCAGGGGCAATAAACAAGTCATCAGTGGCAATCAATTACTGGGATGGTAGGAGTCTGGATGGTGTGGGGAGTGCTGGAGAGGTTCAAGCGCCTGTGAGTGAAAAGGAGGATTAATATTGTGATTTGGTTAACCTGCAATGCTGTTTATAAAACACCAACCCAATTTTTGTTCAAATTGAATCAAAATAGGCATTTATAATATAAAATGATGCTTCATTTTGGCCAGTCGACACGCTTTATCGAACCATTCCAGCTTTCATTTAAAGACAAAACAAAACTGGCCACAGTTTTTGTTTTCATCCATAGTTCTTCTGTTTTCATCCATACTTGAGTCACTTGAATTTTTGGCCGCAACACTTCTGACTAGACTTCTTCCACTTCTTAGCTGATGGCCATGCATCTACCAAAGGCTTCCTAGCTTGATGCATCTTGCATCCGGTTGGTTTATCAAGATGATAGTGACAAAGGGAACATTATATAATGTCACAGACTCCTCCATAACAACTAGGCTATTTACCATAGCAACCAATTCTTCAAAGCTAAGGAAATTCGTAGAGGCATGGGGAACTCTGTATGATTTCACTGACTTCTCCATAGCAACCAAAAATTCTACCATGGCTCACAAACATACTATTAATAGGAACTTTTTAAAGCCAACATTGCCGGGTTGCTTTTATAAAGTGCGTCAATGCAGATGCTTCAAAGCAGTTTTACAGAATGAAGGTTCTTTTGCAGATAAACATCAAAAAAACTGTAATTTATGTCAAGGATGATTATAAAATAGTATATTGTGCTTGCATTTCTTATGAGACTCTCTCATCAGTTGAGAAACATCTGCTTGCATGACCTCTTTCACTCTCTTTGGCTTGCTAGTCTTGCTCTCTATTCTTCTTTTTGCTATCCCTCGGAGAGTGAGATCTAACAGGACAAGGTTACACCATGTGCCTGCACCGAAATAGAAAGAGTGACCTGAAAAGCACCTCCCTGGCATGCCAATATAGCTACGTTTAGACGATAAATTGTAACATCCTGCTCTGTCTTTCTGCCTTATATTATTGCTTCCTTTCACAAGGCACCACCGTGAAGCAATCAGCATTGCTCAAGGGTACATCTGCTCGTGCAGTTCACTTCACTTGAAAGTCACGTTACGACAGGAAAGTGACAAATAGGAAAGGGAAATTCAGTACTGTTTTTGTGTAGAATACCTAAATAAATATGCAACATTTTAAGCTCAAATCAAACTCGTAAAATTTTTACTTAAACGTCACAGCAATTTCATAATTCTTCAAAAAGAAAGGTTTATCAAAAACTGTACGAGGGTCATTTTATAACGGAAAACAAGACAGCAGCACTTGAACGATAGCAGTGAGGAACAGAACCATTGTCTGCTTCCTCTCCTCACACAGACACTCTTCGAAAGAAAGCTTCCTGTTTCTGGCGTTTGTCACCCAGGGGAACGTAACAGGAAACGAAGGGACATCTTTTTTGCCACCTTTTCCTTTTTTGCCAACCTCTCTATTCTAATACCTGCCCAAAAGAAGTCATGTTTGT